GCGCGGCAGGCACGGCCGTTGCCGCGGCAACCAGCGCCGCCCCGGCTCCACAGAGCGCAGCGGAGCGGAAATGACGTTACGCAGCGACCCGCCTCCTGATCCCGGCGCCTGGTTGTGGCCCCGCCCCCAGGAGTTGGGGCGCCTCGCGGCGCGCGTCCGGACTGGTCGCAGGGGCTGCTGCGCTGCACACGCTACAGCGATAGCGGAGCAGCCCGGTCCCTTGCCACGCACCAACCGCATGCGCGACCTTAGCCCGCTCCCAGCCGCCGCCCTGCCCGCCCCAGCAACCCGCCACCGCTCCCGGGAGCCCTCCAGAGTTTGCAGCCGAACCACCTCTCGGCAGCGCCGACCCCGAGCCCGTCCTAAACCCTTCCACTTCCGCGGGCAGCACCAGCCCGGCCTTGGGCGCCCGCAGCTCCGTGCGGGGGGTGTGCGGGATGAGCAGGCCCCAAGGCTGGCGATACAGGCAGCGCGCGGGCCAGAGTGTGGGAGCTGGGAGCAATAACCCACCAGCCTTGCTCTTCTCCAGCCTTAGAAAATCAGGGCTAAGAGAGAGGATTGCAGCGAACAAGCAGGAACGGAAGAATCCGGGGGAAATATGGAAGGGGAAGGAAAAACGATGGGTTGCTGCAAGTGTTAGAGAAAAGAGCTCAGCAGGTCTGCCAGGGTAAGCAGCAGCCAAACCTAGGAACAGCAAACTTGGGAGGAGCAGGTGTAGGATATGCTGAGCAGAGCGGCTGGTCTGGGTGCGTTTTTACATTGGGTGAGCCAGTCACACTGGGGGCCTTGTAACAATTCTCAAATTGTCTGATAAAAATGGCAAATTAAAACCCCCCAAATCCTTCTTTTTCTGTGATTAAAATGAAATGCTACTATACACATAGGTATCAGTTAAACACAATGTTTTATTGATATACTTACATTTTTAAAGCATTTTGGAAGCCTACCAGTGCCTCAATCACTATAACGAAATAAATACTTAATACCTACAAAATTTGGCATTTGATTTTAGGTTTTTCTTCGGAAAATCAGAGTTCCCCTGCCCCTGTTTGCTCACCAAGACGCAGGTGTGGCTGCCCTCCCCTCTCCTCCCTTCCCAGCCCTGTTGGATGGGGCTCCCACGTGCCAGGGCTACAGGGCCAAGGACCTGGATCTGCAGGCTTCTGCTCCCCGCAGCAGTACCTGAGGCCTGGCTGCCATCCCTGGGAGGTGGCAGCTGCTGCAGCAGCATGGACTGCAGAGCCCATACCCCGCTCCCCCATGAGCAGCACGGCTGGTGTGGAGCCCGTGGAGGAGGCGTGTGCAGGCTGCCCGCTGTGGGCTTGGGCAGCAGGTAGGCTGGCTGCCTGCCTGCTGCTGTGTGCACTCCTGGTTTGGGGTATGGGGAGCACATGCCCCACAGATTTGTGCATGGGGTAGGGGTGGGTTGTGGGCTTGAGGCTCCTTGCCCTGCTGCCCTCCCCTGGGGCCTCTACAGCCCAGCAGGCGGGACCCGGTGCAGCAGGGCAGAACAGGGCTGAATACTGCCGCCATGAGCCCTGCACCTTCACAGTGAGGTGCTCTTGATGCCACCATACCTGCTGATTCCAGGCAGGCAGGGGGCACCATACTGTGGTAGTGTAGGGCTTGTGGCAGTGGCACTGAGCTTCCCTGCCCCACTCCACTCTGCCCTGGTGCACTGGGTCCTGCTCCCTGAGAGACAGAGGCCCCGGGGGTAAGGGCAGCAGGGTAGGGAGCCCGAGCCTGCAGCGGGAAGTCCACCCCTCCCCCACTCTGTGCACAAATCTTGGGATCATATGCACTTCCCTGGGAGCGTGCGCATTGGTGGGGAGCCAGCCCTCACCCCCTTCCTCAGATGAGCCACCACAGCTCCATTCTGCTCCCAGCCCGGGCTCTGCAGCTGCACATTCCAGTCCCCAGCTCCAAGCCCCACGCATCGCCCAGGCTGGGCAGCAGCCCCAGTCCTAGTCCTACCCGTGCAGGCCGGGAGCGACCCGAGCCCTTTTCTGCGCTGCACGCGGGCTGTGGCCAGCAGCCCGGGCACGCTGGGTCGGAGGGGGAAGGCCGTCGAGCTGGAATTAGGCACAAACGCGTATCGGTAGTTTTAAAGATTGTTTACTTACACCGAGATGGCAGTGGTGTAGGCTGGAAAGCTTGATTGAGTTGCGGTTACAGACAGACAACACAGACGGTCTCGTGGAGGTTGCTAGGCTCCA